GTTGAATTTGATCCAGCTATTCAGATCCTAAATCGGGACTAAGATGGGATTAAACAAAGTGTAGGGAAAGATATATAGGCTAATTCAATCAATTATTTATATGTATAGCACAATTTGTCTACAAAGCAATTCAAAATGCTTCACAAGAGCAATGCAAAAACACAGCAAAATGTATAAAAAGAAAAAAGTCAATGAAATATGCAATCATTTCATATTAAAACAGAGCAGCCTAAAAGAATCGTGTTCAAAATATAAATAAAATATAGGTTTAAAACGGGAGATAAAAGCAATAAATTAGTACAATATAGAATCAGTTGTATGCACAGCTAAAAAGACATGTTTTTAGCCCAGTTTTGAACATGGTCAGGGTAGAGGCTAATCTCACAACCTCAGGGAGACCGCTTCATATCCTAGCTGCTTGGATCTGAAACGCTGGCTCCCCATCCCATTGTTGACAAAACAGTGTCTGATACTAAAAGAAACGACGTGATTTTTTTTCTACTTAAAAATTGCTTTTTGTTTTAGAATAGAGAAATCTGTCAAGAGCAACAGAAGCACTTTTATTATAACCATGCAGCCTCACACAACTTCAAACCCAAAGTGAATCATGAAATTATATTAAGTGCATATGAAGTGCATATCTACCACAATTTTTTTTTTTCATTCACATTAAAACAGCCAATAAACAGGAATTGCACGATACGTCATCACCAGTTGATCTACTCAAAACAAAAGCTTCATATACTAGTCACAGGATTATCACACACATTTTTTTTTTGATAATATTGAATTCTTCTTCTTTTTTCTAACTTAATTTTTAAACCCAATAACAACTGAATTTCTTCCAGGCAATCTCAAAATGTCAGCTGTGACTTGGGCCAGAGATGTTATGTAAAAAGCATGGGAGAAGACATCTGTGCATATCATAGCCTGCAGGTCTATAGCGTGTCTGTGTATCTGCCCAAATCCCATTCCTAAACCTATAACAAGACCACTTTTGTGCAAAGATTGACAAGTGAATTCTGAGTTCTGCGCTCACCTGCTATACAGATCACTTCATACAGGCCACCTCACCTTGTTTAATCCCTAGATGCCTCAAAGTGTCCTGGATAGACAAAGACTTCCTGTGTGCTAAAATAACCCAGCAGCTAAACTCAAGCAAGCGCACATACAGACTTAAGCAGTAAGTGTATTCATAAAGAAATGGAAAAGAACAAAAATCTAAAAACACATGCACTTTGCTAGTTTTGAAACCTTTGCCCTATATTGCAATGAGCTCTGATTAAGAAGTATTTTTTCCATTGATTTTCCCATTGAGTTCAAAGACACAACAAAGGATAAGCAGCTACAATGTCGATAACAAGACTGTGTTCAGTGCCAAAAACCCATTTGATACCAATATAAGTTTTGTAAAATGACTTGCTCAGAATGGGAACCTCGAATACAAAATGTATGACTAACAAATCAAGAGGTTGCTGGTTAGTGTTGAGTTTGTTTTTTTTTCCAGGTGGAATCATGGCTTTTTATGATTGTTCAAGACTAAGGAAGCCACAGTTTGGGTAAAAAAGTAAATAAATAAACACATTAGCTGGAAGTTAGAGCATGGCCTTAGAGCCTGAAGGTCATGGGTTCAAGCCCAAGACAAGACCTACTTCACGACTCCCACTGATGACTGCTGTCGTTGTGTCCTTGGGCAAGACACTTAACCCCACTTTGCCTGAAGCCCCAGCTGAAAGATCTCAGCTCCTGTGGACTCACCACCTGCAGGAGGATCAGTGAGGGGCTGGTGCTATGTGTACTGGGTGCAGCTCCGACTGCCACCCCCCTGACCCAGAAATGGACTAAGAGGAAGAAAATGGATGGATGGATGGATTAGCTGGAAGTAGAGCAATGTTCTAGACATGATAACAAGAGGCAGAATTCACCATAAAGTTTAGCATAATCTACAACTCAATTACTTAACGTAATTTATAGTTAGATTCTCATCAACATATATTTAATTTGTACATTGATGGAGTTTTGACCCAGTTTGGTCAGTAACAAGCCTCTGGTGATGACTTTCAAAACCATCAAGTAAAGCGATACGATATAAAACATGAAAAATCTTGAATATTATCACGTTTTGTGAGGAGTAAAGTCTTAACTGTCAGATGCACTTACTACTACTTTGCAAATGATTGTTTTTTAAATCTTTTTCTTTAATAATGACCTTCAATAAAATATAATGCTGTAAATATTTTTTTCAGTACACCTGAACAAGACTACTACTACTACTACTACTACTACTACTACTACTATAGCACTAAGCCCTCTGCTCCTGCTGTTGCCATAGGATCCTATACAAAGCTACAGAGCAGTGTAAGAGTAGTGGGCTGGCTTAAGGTTTAAGTCCTTGCCTGTGCTCTGGCTGCGTGTGAGCAGGTGAAGGGGCAGCTGCTACTTAACGCTGTTTAATGGCAACACGTCCAAACAATGTGGGACAGTGAGGCCACGTCAGGCATCAGCCGGGCGCATGTCTTCAGCATCAACACTGAGGAAAAGGTGTTTGTTGACATGCGGCGCTTGTGTTTACATTCTGAGGCCGTGTCTTTGGGCCTGGAAATGTTTCATGAGCAACAGTGCAAAGGTAGTTGTGAGGTATGAAAAATGCAGTTTGGTTCAATATAGGCCGAGATTAGGAATGGTCACTAATTAGGTTTAGGTTTTCATAAGGATCAATATGATATCAAAATATTTTGGCTCATTATGTAACAATTGTTTCAAATATTATTGTACTTTAGTGTTTTATACTTGCTTCTTCATCATGCTAAAGTTAGAGATTTTAGACTTCTTTCCTTATTATGATAAACATAGAGATTTTATACTGCTTCCCTTTAAGGTGGAGTTAGATATTTTATTTTATTTTAATTTAGTATAGAGTTATTTTTTGTTTATCTTGTGCTTTTATCTTGTGCTGTGTGCTCCTCATTTCTACTGTTCTGTAACTTGTGATGCAACACTGAACTTTCCCCATTGTGGGACAAATAAAGGATCTTAAACTTAAATGTTGTATATTATTATCATCATCACCATTACTATAACCCTATCCCTCAATTACAGGCAGCAATCAAAACTATTTTAATACGGGGCACCGACATTGTGAGTCTTGTAAAAGTAACATTTTTTGAACAAGTCAGGCCAAAACTGATGCTGTTGTCAACTTAGTAGAAAACATGTTGTCTTTTAAATATTAAAAGACAAATTGGAAACAAAAAATATAAAAACTTCAAGGAAAATCCTGAGATTTTTTGGACGCTACATATTCACCTGCATGATTCCATAAATGTACAACATAGGGTCAAGTGGATATGAAAGCCTACTCCCAATAAGGACGCATACTTTTTGTCAATGCAACAAAACAGACAACACGGCAGGACATGTAAAAAATAGTAAACAAATCTAACAAAATCAGAAACAACACTCACTGATTCCACTGCGAATACACCTCTAGCTCTATGCCTGTGCAGAAGTCGCCCTGCCCAGTATTCATGGGGCTAATTGAAAGGAGAGATTAGCCTGGATCCTGGTGCTGTTGACAGACAGTGTGACCCGAGTTACCACCAGGAGCACAAATGACACTGCTCCAGTCAAGGTCAACCCAGGAACTATATTCAGTAGATTATCCGCTTCACAGAACACACCAAGGCACACCATCATGATACCAGGAAGAGCAGCAAAGAGAGAGAAACTGAAAGGCAATTGAGCCGGAGAACAAGGTTGATGCAAACTTGCAATATTTGACCCATAAAAAGAACTTGGCAAATACAAGTTGTGTATTGTGTGGTTTTGTTATCAGTACAAGTTGTCCTGTCTTTCCTGAATAATGAGAGAGTTCTTTCTTAAAGGTGCAGAGTTGTAAAAGTCGGTGAATGATACTATGTGTGCGAGGGGGGGAAAAAAACATGTCATTTAAGTGAATAAAGTGTTTGGGAATGAATCCTGGAACAATAAAAGGTTGAGAAAGACCAGTGTAGTAGGGCAGGGTTCCCAAACTTTTCAGCTGCTCTCAAAACAGTCGCACAACTGACTCTGGCTCCATTTCCAAATAAAATGTAAGTAGAAAAACCATGTGGAGTTTACTTGTTTCTATTCAAATATTGAACTAATTACAGTGGTATGTCAAAACGATGAGGACATTTGTGAATAAAATATACCATTCGTACTGCAAATACTTGGTATACTTGGACCTGGATACCTGCTTGCCCCACTGTAAGCAATTAAAGCTGGGGTACCTACTTTTCAAAACTCAATCAATTAACTACCGGTATGCATCAGAAAATTCCTTGCTCTCAAAACAGTTTGTTTCTATAAATGTACTTTTGGACTGTCAGACTTTTGAATCAGCTTTTTCAGACAGAAAAGTAAAAAAGAGAGGACCACCGTCACCCATCCAATCCGCTCTCAGCCCATAGCATCTCACAGGGCAAAAGACAGAATGTTTCCCATGATGTATTAAACAAAACATGTAGATACTTCAGCTTTAAACGGCTAGCTCACTTTTTTGCATTAAAGAACTTTTTGATGCAGAAAGATGCACATATTCTCCCTGTGGCCGGGGTCACCTCTCCACAGAGTTGACATGTGACTCAGGCGGCTATAGTGTCCTCCTATACTGTGCACATGCCAGGCAAGACAAGGAAATTACAGGGCTCTCTCTGCAAGGGGCCAAAAAATGTGAAAACTAGTGATAGAACCAAATTGTTTCGAGAGTGAGGAACTTAGATTTTTTGTTGTTTGTCTCGTGCTTTAAACACTGTCTGCAGCATGAACAAGGTCTACTTAGTATATGCAAAGTATACACAAACTACTGTATAATGACAACTTATTGTAAACTCTAAAAATCATGACGATCTTCAAGCAAATCTGTTAAAAAAGTCCAAATGGGAAAAGAAACAGGTTTATGTGATTTGAATGACAACTTATTGACAACTTGAACGCACTTTTGGAGAGTTGCATCCTACCTGCAGCTCACACCACGCCACCTCCACAGTGGTCTCCGTGTCCAGGCCTTTGTACACGCTCTTGAAAGACCCCCGTCCGATCTCTATGTTGAACTTGAGGTATCTTCCATCAGGTGAAGTGGCCACAGCTTTGGTCTCCAGGTCCTCCTTCTCCTGTTGCTCCTGGGAGTCAAACGCGACGCGAGACTGGTTCTTCTGCTGTTTGCTCTGCGCCAGGTCACTGTCAGAGTCCGAGCTGACCTCCTGCGCTCTGGGCCGGTATGCGGGCTCCGGCTGCGTGGGGGGCGTGTGAGTCCCCGGGGTGGACACGGGTGAAGGCGTCTGAGGCGACTCTTCCTCGGCTTCTTCCTCAACCTCTTCAGCCTTCTCCTCCTCCACCCTGGTCTCCGTCAGAGAGTGGATGTTCTCAGCGGACCAGGACAAGGTCTTGGAGAGGACGCCGCTGTAGAGAGGAGAGTCCAGGTCCATGCTGATCTTCTGGAGCCCATAAGAGTTCCTCCTAGCGCCCAACCCGTGCGTCCGCATCATGGCGCGGGCTTCTGTGACATCCATATGGAGCCCGGGGAAGCCACGTCCTGCTATCTCAACCTGTGCGTTGGACATTCTCGCAGGTTCAAAGTAATCTTAATTCGATGCCTAAAATAGGACACACAAGAGTATAGTTGTTGATTGCATGCAGCAGATAACAACAAAGTTAGTGAGACATAAAGTAAAATAACTTTCGATATTCTAGACAAGCTTAAATGTGACTTTCTTCCAATTAGTCGGTGTTGCAGTCTACTTACTCATGGCAGCTGTTGCTTCAGACCTCTCACTTCGAAAAGCGCGCAGACAAACGCACATTAAAGCATGTTTCCTCGTAGATGATCGGAGTTGTTCTCTCGTACAAGTCCTCAGTCATAACCTCAGGAGGGAGGGCAGCGCAGTGGAAAGCCGTGCGCGCTGTGCGTCCTGGCTGCGCGCTTCCAAAACTCCGCCCCTTCTGTTTCACGCTTTGACTCGAGCATCCAAAGTGATCCTTGCTGCCATTACAGGTGGAAAACATGTCAAACTAATAACTGTTGCATAACCAGGGGATATGGTGCTCGAATGCTTTGTTTTAAGCTATAGTTATCATATATGTCAGTCAAAGAAGCAGCCTAGTTTCTCGGAACGCGCCGTGCGTAAAGACACCATGTGCCTTCAAACCTCCTCACTTTGATCAAAGGAGCCCACAACAAAGGAACCATGTGGGTGTATCATAAGATTTAGAAAAGACAGATTTTTTCTCTAAATCACAGAAAAGCAGAATGCTCCTTGTCTAATTGTAGCTGTCAATGTTTGTGCACCGGTCTTGATTCATAAACCCGGGCAAGTTTGTTCACTGAATGTAATTTTAATATACAGAATACACAAATCATAAATTTAGTGTGTAAGTATGGCCAATAGGGGGAGACAGCAGAGTAATTGGATACTTGCATTATCAGTCAAGGCCGCTGTGCCCACCTGTTACACTCATGTGTGCGTGAGGTTTTATCTGCACAGGCTGAATCCATAGACGTCGGAACTAGGGGTGCGGGGGGTGCGGCCGCACCCCCTCCGCGTGTGCCGGGAGCGAGAAGTTATCACTATCCTGCGTTCCTTGCAGCCCAAAACCCGCTCCATGCTGTCGGAGAAGCTTATGAAGCTCTGTCTGGCTAATATCTGTCGCAGCCTCTGAGCGCTCTTTCTCAGCCTTGCGCAGATTAGAGACCTGGCTACACCAGTGACGTGCGGTGGGGGATCAATCATGTGTTCATATGATTATACATCATATAAACCAACAGGACCTACAGGAACAGGAGCGGCTTATACACAATTTGTTTGGCTACAGCAGAATATGATTTAATGTCTGCATTGTTTTCTCATACAAAACGCAAACGTTTGTAAATAGTACAAAGTGTGTTATGGGCCTTACCTTAGGACCTTAGGTATTAATGAACAGCACAGACCACTTCAGTTAGGACCAGTTTCATGTTTAAGTCCAGATAATAGTTTGAGCACAGACATGTAATCCTCCATTTGGAAATAAGTTCAATGAGTTTTAAAAAGTAAAACAAACGGGTGTCTCCTCCGTAAACTCCGAGTTTTGCTGCAGCCGACTCCCGGGTAAATCCAATTTCTAAATTCAACCTTACCCTTCACCTCCTTTTCTTATGATTCATATCATCATTGGAAGCAAAACATTACTCTAAGTGCATTTTAAATTATCTTAAAATGTATTATAGGTATGTTAGCCAAACCTGTAGCTGCCCTTAGCAGAAGAAGAACAAGAAAGGAGCTTTCTGATGGAATTGGATGCAGCCAAAGTTTGGGCTCACAAGCGCCCCCTTGAGGCTTTCCTCACTTACAAGCTGTGGTTGAGCGCGATTAAGACCCATATTTGCTTCAAAAACACAATTTATGAGCCATCCTCTTAAATGTAAACATGTTGATTGTAAATTAAATATTTTTGAACTTTTTAAACTGTGATAAACAGAGAAAACAGTTTGATAGCACCTCACAGGACTCTCCCTGTGAGCTGTTGCTTTTTACGTCTCCCAAGAGAGGCTCGCCTCACAGCACCGCTCTGTCAAATCTGCGATTTCAAGGTATAAATAAATGAAATAAGGCACAGCACAAATCACTTGATAAAGTGACCAAACATTATTGTATCCATTTTATTACTTTTCTTTCTATGATCTTAGGTGAGGGCCTTGCCTGCCTCATCTGACCGCACGTCACTGGGCTACACAACACAATGAAGCCACCGGAGAGACTGACGCATGAATGCGTATTGAAAAAAAAAAAGTTCAGTTTGATAAGTGACTTGCTTGATATATATTGTTTATTTTGTTTTTCTTAACAATTAAGATGGTATGTTATTATCCAGTGTAATCCAAGTATGAGTCTCTCCCTCGACTCTCCCAACAAAAACCCGCCCCCCCTCTCAGAAAATAGTTCCGACGTCCATGGCTGAATCCACTGGAGATGATACAAACAGTACAGCTTTGTCCTTCTCCCAATTTCAATGAGATGAATGTGTCCTGTATAAAATGCAAATGAAAAGATACATTAAAAAAATCTGCCTTAACAGCATTTTATATTATATCGATATTGGGATCATTTTCCCTTCATTTGAATGCCATGAAAGTAATTTTCACATGAGAAGATTAGAGTAAAAAAGAGAAATTATGATGGGACATGATGCTACAAACTTTCTTTTTTCTCTCTACAACAGTAAGTAGGTGAGTCGCTATTTAAACCTTCAGGCAGAGAGGTGATTGGCTGCAAAATGGTGGATATTCCTACTTTTGAAGTTGTGCTAATTGTAGAAATAGAAGGAGGAAATTGTAAAATGAGAATCATGGAATTCAATACTTCCTTTTTTCCCCATTTTGAAAGTCATATACCCCAGCTTTAAGTTCAGCACACAGAAACGTTCTAGTCGAATTGCAGAGATACAAGTGAATAATATTATGAATCCGTTGTTATGGCTCCACATGCTAGATTAAGACAAACCAAACAACAGTTACCAAATGTAGATTTATTTTCCTATTGAGGATAAGAAAAGGAGTGGAATATTGGTAGAAAGGACTGAGGAAAGTCACAGGAGCACAATAATGGCGGGACAGCAGTCTGGATTACCGTGGCCCAAGCCGCTGTAAAGTTCCGTTAATGGAAGCATTTATTCTCAAAATATGGGTCCCTCTGGTGTCGTGTTGCAGGATTTCTTTGGGACGTCATAACACCGGCCCGACACCAGAGCCAATAAGCCTGTGCTCAGGGAATTATTCAAGCAAGGAGATACAACAGAATTAAAACTATATTTACAGAGAGAAAGACAGGCAGTAGACAGGGAGAGCTCCCGTGATATACAGTATTTATGATGATATTTAAGTCCTGATACATGCTGCAGCAACTAAAGCCAAGAGTTGCCTAAAAAGTGACATAGAACGAGCCATGTCACCAGCTTTCCCCATTCCTACTCTGTTATAAAGACACCAGTTCAATTCCAATCGGAGGAATATGAACTAAAAAAAGGCAACACATATGACTGGACCCGGCTGGGCGTCTGGGCAGCGATGTTTTGTTGTTGTTTGTTTTGTTGTTTTTTCCCCCTAGAAAGTTCACTGTTGAAATGGCCCCTGGAGTGAAGTTTGGGCTCGAGGACAGAGACACGGCGGCGGAAAACGAAGCTCAGAAGAATTTGACGCCTTTGCTGTCGTCCATAGTGATGAGTTCAGCTTTGCCTTCGGACTGTAAAGCCTGAAGGGACCGCATCAGCATCCACTCCTCCAGACCATGGAACTCTGCTCAAGGAGAAAGATTCATTTTAATAACAAAGCAACAATATACATTATTTTTTTCACATTCAATCAGTGGCAAAAATGTTCAAATGCCAAACAATTTAGACTGAATAATTGAGTTGCTTTATTAAATGTTGAATGTTTTGGCTTTTTGCTTAAAATATTATCTCTTTTTATCACAGTGGTCACTTGTTTATTGTGGGTGTTATATAAAAAATATCCTGCAATAAGTAAAATCCACAAATAGCAGATCAAGACATTGTACCTTCGTTTTCTGTGTCGTCGCCGTTAGACAGCTCATAAAGTGTGCAGACAGTATTGACCATGCCATTTTTGGAAATCTGAAATAGAGAAAAAACATTAGCGGGGAATAAAAAAATATGATTCCACAAATATCAATGTCAAACATAAGACGTTTTTCAGACTTGTCCGAAATTGAATGCCATTGTAGGAGACATTGACTCTCACTTTTTTTATGACCATAATAAAGTGTTTCCCAACTCTGCAGCCACTACTTCTTCTCTGTATTTGGTTGTGGTCTTGGGCAACAAGAGAAATAAAATGTCACTATAACTCCAAAGTGAAAGGTGATGTAATGGGTAATACAGACTTTCCTTTTTACTTTAAATGGCCGGGATCCAGCCATTAACTGAATTAACTTCTGAATAATTTAAATTCTCTAGAGCCACTATGATATTGGCTGAAGCAACACGCACAAAAGTCACAGCAAGAGACATAAGTATAACAGTTACACAACCCATTAAAGCAGATTATATAACAAATCTCAAAAGATAGACTGTTTTAAAATGTAATTCCCCAACATGCTGCCTTTGTATCTTTTGCAAACTTGTATGTAGCTCTGTACATCACTATTTGACGTTTTGGGCTGAGAGCTGATTGGCTGGCTGAGGGTGGTCTCCTCCGATTTCTGATCTAAAGATGTGACAATGGTAAAGACACGCATGTAAAATCTAGTGATCAATCCAAACCGTTTCGAGGGTGAGGAATTACTTGTATGGATGTTATTACATAGTGAAATGTTTACAATTTTGAAGTTAGGTACCCCAACTTTAATGGACAACAACATTTTATGGCCGTTAAAAAGCAAAGCGTTGAGTCAAGGGTAGAAAAGGGGTCAATAGGGGGCATATATTCTGTATTAGTTTACGTCGGCAGAAAAAAAAAGGGGATGTGATCAGCAGACTGCCTTAACAGAACATTGCTAAACTCAATCACCCAAAATGGTCGTAATTTTATTAATGAATTGGTAAATGTGTATAAATTGCATGATGAAGTATCTCAATCTGAATCTAGCACGCATACATTCAACTCACCCACTGGTATATTAACTTCCCCCATTCCTCTGGCCGTCTCCACATGACTAAACATCTAGATTTGTTTTTGTCCAACCACTCCAAGTTCCCTGCAGCAAAGCAATAAAGCAAGATAATTACATTACTATTTAAATAACAAGACCCAGACAAATGATTCCCTTTTAAAACATGTCTTAACCTTTTTTCCTTAATTCCTCAAACACAACTTGAATGGCTTCCATAGAGAGTTTGCCTGCAATTCAGTTAAGGGAAAAAGAGACCAGTGTGTAGACAAACAAACACAGCCTTGAAACAGGAAATCAAGCCTGAAATATCGGAGGCTTGGATCTGCTCAAGTACATTTATAGGCAAATAAAAAAAGAAATGACATGTTTTTAAAGATTACATCATAGAGCATCTGACCTATTGCATTAGTACATTCAGTGTGCAAGATTATTTAGAAGAAATAATTATACGTGTACAGGCAACGTAGCTGGGAAAATATTGGACATATAGATTCCATTAAATAGGTAATACGTAATATTCATATTCCTCCTTAGTATAGACATTCATACTAAAATTATTAGTCCCATCATAGGATCCACAAAATCTAGGGAAATGCTTGATAAAGATATATTTATGTCCATATGCACATAAATTGTATTGCACATATTTTTTGAAATACTAACATTATCTGAGGCAATAAAATGCCCTTCTATATAGTCTATATAATTTTGACCTAGTTAATACTATCAGAAACATGCAGTGATTTCATGATGGCTGTGAGGATACGTTCTATCTTCTTGTTGTTGAAAACAGGGCTTTCTTGAGCTTCCATCACGTCCACAGTGTAAAGTTTGTGATGCCTGCAGTACGACAGCGTCAGCGAACACCATGCTGCCAGCTGCTTCTGTCTCGTGTCAACATTTGGCTGTAGTCTGTGATAACAAACAGAGATTCAAATAATGCAATATAAACATGGCTCGAGAGTGATCTAAAGGACGGAATATTTCTTATTTTGTAATTTGAGGAACTGCAATATCAGTAGGGAAGAGTAGTAGGCCCTAATTGTTGTATGCTACATGTTTGGTTGTTACTTGCTTTTGATATTAATAAAGGAAGAGGAAAATAAATCTTTACAAAATGCATTCTTTAATTGACTTCAAGTAAATGGGTAATCTTAATTTATATAGCCCACTTCATACACCAAGGTCACAAAGTGCTGTACAATGTTTTCGACTTTACCTTACCTTCTAAATTGAAAACAGCTTAACTTTTTAACTTATTGGAATGCATGATATCTTCGACTACTTCAGCCCTACATAGCCTTTAGAGTTAACTTCAGTGGTCATGCTACAGAGTTAAAGCAGATAGGCATCTCACCATCTCCTGGGCACAAATAAAGCTTCACTTATATCAATAGAACATAAACTGTTTCCTTTATGTTTTACATGTGTGTAATCCTTAAAGGTTCCATCCATCCACGCCCCATTCGATTACATACTGAAGAATTGTTGTAGTGAAGTCAAATTACTTATGTAACAAATAATATTATAAATAATTGGGTCCACTGTGTCGATAGGTCTGGATCACTTAAGACTGATGATGTCTAGTATGTGGTTCGAGGGTTAGCTCAAGTCCCTTCCCACAACAGTAACAACCATTAAAATACGCAGATTTAACAGAACGAGTGCTGACAAGTGTGGCGTTTAAGGGTCTAATGGTTATTTAGGTAACCCACAGTATTCAGTGTAAATTGGATGATTTATTGAAACTTTATCAGAGGAAATTACCCCACTTCCCTAGCAATTTGTCACGGTTAGCCTGTTAGCCTAAAGAGCTAATAACAAGCTAATACAAAGAGCCAGGGCTCTGATTATTATCAGAGTTTGTTCATAGACTGTTGCCTTTTTAGGGATGCCACCCCCAAATCGCTGATGCAAGTGTTACTCACGTAAAAAAGGGAGGAAAGTTATATTGCCAGGGCCACTCAAAACTCATTTGTGCGGTGTTCGCAGCTGACAGCTTCCGGAAACGGTACGACAACAAAATAGTTCCGACAAATTTGAAAACAGAAGTTTTGTGGTTTTTTTCTTTTTGTTGTTGCAGTCACTGGTTTGTCCAAGCTTCATACAGCATGTTAGTCGTTTTAAGACTTTTTTGTAAACAGATTTGAATTCGCTTCAAACACTTATTTCACTTATTTTTTTTAAATAAACTGTTGTCCAGAGATGTAATGGAATATGTATTTCTTGTAAAGTATGTAAGTAAGTGTTCATTTGAAAATAAATGTATACCTAACAATGAATAATCTAACAAATAATTTAATTAATAAATAATAATGTAGGCTTAAATCCAACAGAGGGCGCCAATGTACCGCCTCGGTGCCACAGAAGAAGTTGACCAGCAGCTTGCGCTCCCCGCCCACTGTCTGCCGGACCCCCACCGTCACAGCGCCGGGGACGATCAATCACATCAGCGCCTGGACCATGGGCAAAGGTAAAGATTTGAGTGACTTTGACAAAGGGCAGATCGTGATGGCCAAACGCCTGGGGGAAAGCAGCTCTAGGATCTCTGCACTGGTGGGCTGCTCCAGATCCACTGTGATTAGCATCTATCAGAAGTGGTGCAAAGAAGGGGAGGCTGCCAGCAGGCGCCAGGGTCACGGACGCCCCAGGCTCATTGACACTCTCGGGGAGCGAAGGCTTGCCCGTCTGGTCGAGTCAGACAGAACTGCCACCGTTGCTCAGATAGCAGAAAAAGTTAACGCCATTTCGGACAAAAAGGTCTCCTCTCACACTGTGCACCGCAGCTTGTTGCGCATGGGTCTACGGCGCAAGAAGGTGAACGAGTCCATGCTGGCCAATGTGCGCCGGCAAAAGCGACTGTTGTGGGCGCTGGAACATGAGGAGTGGGCGGTGGAGCAGTGGAAGCGGGTGGCCTGGTCCCGAGAGGCGCGCTTTAGGTTTCACGAAGTCGGGGGACAAGTGGCAGTGCGTCGTCTGCCTGAGGATGGAGATGGAGATGGAGACGCGTCATACCAGAGCAGCGGCTACACAGTGACACTTTGGGGGATGTTTTGCTGGGAGACTTTAGGCCCTGTTATCCACGTGGACGACTTTCTAACCCCAAACACGTACACCAGCATCCTCGCAGACCACGTCCACCCTTTCATGAACTCCGTATTCCCTGAAGGCTCTGGGTTCTTCCAGCAGGACAGCTCTTCCTCCTCCTCTGACAGTGTGCAGGAGTGGTTTGAGGAGCACGATGATGAGTTCAAGGAGCTGCCCTGGCCTCCGGATTCCGCAGAACTCAATCCCATGGAGCAGCTGTGGGACGTGCTGGACCAACAGATCAGGTCGATGCACGCTTCGCCCCTCACCAGTCTGGAGGAGCTCAAGAACTTACTGCAGGCGTCGTGGACTCAAATCCCCCAGGACACTTTCAGGGGTCTCGTAGAGTCCATGCCACATCGAGTGAAAGCAGTTTTACAGTCACGTGGAGGCCCTTTAAATTATGTGCCCGGGGGTCTTAGTATAATGGCTGATGGAAGTTCAACCCCGCTTTAATACAAAAGTTATGACACTTAAGGCTTGGGTACCTGTATTTTTCTTCATAAAACAATCCAATGTTTTTCTCAAAAGAAAAATGTGAAATATGACCACAACATGTTGTCTTCATCTATCAAACGAGCGCTGTGAGTCACTATTTGACGTGTTCGGCAGAGAGCAGATTTGCAGCTGGTCCTCTCTTGTCTGAAAAAGAAATCTGATCTAAAGATGTGACAGAGGTAAAAATATGTGCATGTAAATGGATACGTTTGAGAGGGAGTAAGTAGTGTCTCTCAGCTGGCCTGGGAACACCTTGGGATTCCACTCAATGAGATGGAAGAAGTGTGTGGAGAGAGAAGTCTGGATGTCTCTGCTTAGACAGCTGCCCCTAAAGATGGATGGATGTAGTTAGGTACCCGAGCTTTAACTGTACAGGCCATTGTGGACTTCTCACGGACCTATTTCTGAAGTTTTTGCACATAAACTATCAACACTTTATTATACAAAGTTACTTTATTATCTGATAGCATTTCAACAGCATAAATATGCCTTCTATGTCTATTTACACATTCATTTATTTATGTTTTAACTTAATGACCAAAATATAGCCCTACTAAATTACCATCTATGTTAATGTACATCATGGATCCTCGTGTACATATTTGTAAATAAATCTAGACGTTGAAGGATATGAAGTCTATATTACAAGTTCATATTTCTTTATACATTCCTATATTACAAAAAAACAGTTTGAGTAGACGAGGCAAAGAATCAGTTAATGCAAATATACAGTAAACCACACTGTAAAGCAGATTGAATTAATTGGATTGCCCTATTTCACAAAGAAGCCTAAAGCACTTGTTTGTGTTGGATTGTACCACAGCTATTTTTTTTTTTAGAATAAAAGTTACATTTTAGCTGAAAGTGACTTGTGAGAATTAAAAAGCTACAATCTCAAATTGCAACAAAATCCTTAACCAAAACTATGGTTTGTTTTCAAGCACAATACTGTCGTCTCGCACAGTAGCGTTGCCGATAAAACACGCCGTCAATGACCCATTCAAATAAATGCTATATGTAAATGTCATTCTTCTCCTTCACTTTTCAGTTTCAGTGGAAGATTGGCTCATATTCGTTCAGGATAAACTCGACAATCTGGTTTTGAAAGACCATGTGCATCGTGAGGTTATTGGACTCGTTTTCTGGTCGAAGCAGCGTTGGGCCGAACACTATGGCCACGTTTTGCACCGTCATCCGATTGTCCTCTCCGTGTTCTATAACTCTGTCAAAACAAGAGAGAAACAGTGAGGAATTATGGATTGCAACAGCTGGATATGTCATTTGAAATCACTTTATCATTCATAGACCTCTTTGTACATTGCACCTGCCAACAGTTCTTCTTTTAATCCTTTACTTCAGCCTCATTAAGTAGTAGTAAGTAATCTTTATTTATATACCGCCTTTCACAGACCAGAGTCAGAAAGCGGTTTAGAATTGTTTTTTTTTTTTTTTGGGCATTTGTCATCTCACTCCACACAGAGATGGGAGCGGGGTCGCTAGTACAGGAGGCCAGACCTATTGTACATATTTTTAGTAGTAGGGGAAACCGGAGTACCCGGAGGAAACCTACGCAGACAAGGGGGGAACATGCAAACTCCACTCAGAAAGGCTCTGGGATTCGAGCGGGATTCGAACCCACAACCTTCTTGCTGAGAGGCAAGAGTGCTATCCACTCAGCCACTGTGCCGGGCGCCGTTCATATTTGGATATTGCATATTCTAATATTGCTTCTTATTGATTTGCCTATGAATCAAACCTTATTTTTTCTCATTTGGTTGTGGTGCCACCTGCATGTTCAAGCCTCATCCCATCAGATCTCAGAAGCTAAGCAGGACAGGAAATGGTAAGTGCTGTGATGGTAGACCCGTGGCAACACCAGTAAAGTGCCATAGTCTTAGCCCGAATAGTAGTGTGAGAAGGGCTGATGGCATAGATTATTATGTCCCAGTAATAGTTCACACAATCATTTTATATTGAGTGAATGAATAATTCTGTTCTTGTCTGGAAAAGCTCTATAATTATGTTTTAAATAATTATAATTAATATCTTTATTACAATCAGAACATTTCAATACATCATCGTTTAACAGATGTTACCTGATTTTATTTTTTTTACTTGCACATTTATATACATCATTACGGAACAATCACGTTAGAGCAGTAAAACCGAAAAGCTGTAGGCTGCAGCTAATGCATACCTATACCTATTTATTTATACTAGTGCTTTATCTTACCTAAACCTACCATTTATACTAGTATCATTACTATAAGTGAATGTATTGTATACATTAGAACAAACTTACAGAAGCAACTTTATATCAACTTCTCAATGTAAGCCTTTGTTTACTAATCTTTACACAAATTACAAGTTATAAAATGTCCTATTATAGAGATAAATTAGACAAAATTAAGACACAGGCTGAGATTTTACAGTATTAATAGCAATGCAATTTTACAGTCATAATATAATAATGATAAAACATATTTTGAAGCGTGTGTGGAAGCAATTCAATTATTCATTGTGATCAGTTAGTGTTGTCCAGTCTGAAATCATATTCTGTAAATCATTATAAGAGAACGTACTTGCGTAAATGTCCAAACAACAGCTTCATGGTGTCGCGGTTTGGTTGTGGCAGAGACTTGACCAGATTACAAATGTAAGACAACTTTGTGTAATAGTCTGATTGTCCTGCAAGAAATAACAAAAATAACTCAGTGTTAAATCAGCATAATAACAATAATTTTAACAGAGAGAGAAAAAAAAGACAAAAAGATGACACTGCAGTAACTAGTTGTACTTTTGTAGCCTTGTTTAAAATTGGGGGACTTCTTTACGATTATGATAGAAAAATGTCATACACCACCAATCACTTTAATCATTCATTCATTTCTATGTGTTTTTGTATAGCCCTAAATTACAGCAGTAGTTTAGGGCACAGAGTGGTCCATAAGGCGCAGAGACCGATGTCCATAAATGTTGTTGAATGTTGTGTGTCCTGGATCATCAGCATCATGACAATAACCAATCAACACTCACTGTCACATTCCATCAAATTATCTGCATCAGGTTGGTTTTTCCTGTTTGGGCGCCATTGTGGTATGAAGGAAATATGGTAGTTTGAATCGTTAATTGATGTGAAAGATTACGGATTTTTCATCATGATGGAGGAGTAGATTGAGAATTAACATTGAGCCAAAAGCTGACAAAGCTGACAGAAAACGCCATTTACAACTAAATTCAATGTGAAGGCTTAATAAAGCTGGGGTACCTAACTTTCAAACCACAAAAAATTGAACTATGTAATTAAATAACTAATTTAACTCATCTGTTGCTCTCAAACGAGCTTGGTTCTATCACTAGTTTCTCTTTATGCATACATTTTGAAAAAGTTAGGTACCCCCAACTTTAAGCCTATCCAAACCCTATGTTAAAAAATGCATAAAGTCTATTCGACAATCTCCAAAAACATCAAAACCTCAATTAGTTTGGATTATGTGTCGTCTCAACCGTCCGTTTTTTAGGACGAAATGTTCCTCGCCGACTGTTTCCAAGGTAACGGCACAATTCATTTCAGCTTCACCTGTCGTGGCATAAATGGGCCTCTTGATTTCTGCTGCGTCATATAAATCTTAAATAACTCATCCGAAAGCACAGCGTAAGCATTCAATTCCAAAAGTCGGGTTTATCTGCTGGAGTAGTTTAAAATCAAACTTCAAACGTACTTTTTGGGGCGAGGCCAGGGCTGCATTTATAATCAGATTATAGTATGTCTGTGTGAGCAAGTTAGACAAGTATTGTTTTTATTTTTTTTTCTCAATATTCATATTCTAAGAACTATGGGCTGCATTTTAATCTGCTGGAAAATAATGTTGGTTGTATAAGAATAATGTGCTAGATTAGAATGAAAGTTAGCATATTTTTGCACATGAGACTAATGGAGAAAAAGTGAAAACGATACATAAATACATAATACAAGTTTTTGTATGTTTTTTAATACTAAGTTTTTGTAGAATTATGCAGTACTCTGAGGGTGTTTTTTTCACTCCCAGTGCCGGTTTTAGTGGCAGACGTTTTACAACTTGGAGAACTTTGTCTTTTGGCAGCTTCAAGCATATGCATAGAGTAGAGAATTGTTTTCTTTTTACCCAAAATCTTTCGTAGTGAACCTTTTTAAGCAATTAACGTGACCAAAAGTGTGACTTGCCACAGGCTGTTTGTTAGGGTCATTATAATATATACACAATCAGCATCAAAAGCTCTCATAAAATAAAGAAGTATAACCAACTCACTGATTGCTTCTATGAATTTGTTAAAGTGACTGAAAGGGAAAAGCGGCTCAGGAAGCTCTCTGAAAAACAGCTTCAGTGCTCCTGTGATCACATGGACGTCCTCCCACTGTCCATCCTCCAGGTCCAGCTCCTCTGTGCACACACAAAAAACACAATATTCAACACTGCAGTATGGTTTGATAACACCAGGGGGCACTGCTGGCTATTAGATCGTCATCGTTGGTCATAAAAGTTACTTAAATGAACTTTGTATCGAATATATTTTTACCATGATCAGCTTTGAAGCGAAGTTTCTGAATGACAGCGAGGTTTCCACTCACTCTGTAAAGACCGTCGATTTCTAGACCTGAAAAAACCAACAATAGAGAAATCAAAAATTATTGCAGCAGTCTGGATTTCTACTTCAGAGATTGCTTAAAAAACTATTCTGCCTCCCAGTTTTTATGTATTATGGAGATATAAGAATACATACAAGAATGTATTTTATGTATAGTATTGTGAAAACTAAAATTAACAATGCACATTGAACAAAAAAACCTCTAACAACTCCATCTTTTCAACTCTTCAAAGCATTACAAAGACAGGTTTGTTGACAGACGGATGGACCATTCAAGGACTATTCAGATCAATGAATCAACTTCACTTTTTCATATGGTTTGGAATCCCGAATCCATTAAATAGAATCTGCTAAAATAAGAGCCACTTATGTATTACAGGCGAAATGTGTTAAAATTCATTCAGATCAGATATAATGTAATAGATTAGGGGGAAATTTCAACATGGAAACAGTCTGCACAGGGAGAACATGCAATACACTCATTACACCATCATTACATCATACCTCTTCTCTCCACAGCCCTGATGCATTTCTCGACAAAACTCGGGACCGAAGCGCTCTCCAGTTTGCACAGTGTGTCTAGAGGGCATCCGAACACGCTGTCTACAGAGAAGAGTCAAAAACAGGGCAATAGTTCAAGACAAGACAGAAGACAGAAGTGGAATCTTTTTGGTAGAGGAAAGTAAAAGTTAAAACAGCGCTGCTCTATCACCGGCCACTTCATTACCAGAAAAAAACCTATTCTGCTTTTTGTAATACAACCATAATCTTAAGATCCTTGTGAATAATGTATACTTGTACTACTTGGTTAGGACATTTTAAATTGCAATGTTAATCTAAAATAAAGCAAATATTCCATATAATTGTTATTTATAAACGGGTACAGACAGGTACAGTGTGATGGCTGTAGTTTAAAGGGATGAAAAGAAGAAAAAAAGGATCCAAAGAATATTATACCATGATTACAAGTTGATTTAGCTTAATTATATAACAGTCGGACAATTTCAACACATCAGAACACATGTAATCCATAACACTACTTACATTACACTACATCAGCCATTCCCAAACTCAGTAACACCGAGGCCCCCTTAAAAATCTGACGGGTCTGAGTGGCCCCCCAAAATAATAACCAAGAAGACAACATTAAGAATAGGCTCTTCTGGTTATTTTATTTTGGGGAAATAGCCTCTGCTACAAACATTGTAATACACAAATGATTACAGTGGATTATTCAAGTCAAATAATGAACACAAATATTTTAATATTACAAACAAAACATTATAAATTTAACATTAAATAATTATATATATATATATATATTTTTTTATGACCTCCCGCGGCCCCCCTGCAGTACCCTCGCGGCCCACCAGGGGGCCGCGGACCCCACTTTGGGAGACACTGCACTACATAATAAAAAAAAGTGAAAATCCATCAAACTAGGTCTTTATTCTCAAAACAGTCTCAAAATAGTGGCTTCCAGGGCTCTTTCTCATTCTACCATGCAAAAGATACAATATTTTCTGATATGATGAAGACCAGATATTCTTTTGGGACAAACAACAGGCACATTCTAAAGCTGAGATACCTTTTCCCCCAAATAATAGACACTGTAGATAATAATTTCTAAATCTATGTAGCGCGTATGTCACTTCTGGCAATCCTATAGTAAATATAAATAAACTTGGCTTTGATTTTGACGTTAGTATATGTTGTTGTGAAGTTGATGTGAATACCTCTGATGTAGCCCTTCTCTTTGACAGACTGCAGCGTGGGACGTTTCAGGAGGAACTTCATGAGTTTGGTCTTGACTCTCTTCTGATCGGCCTCCGCTGCGTTACTGGACGAGTGAGTGACGCTGTTTCTGGAGGCTGCAAACACATCACCAAACATTATTCCCTAAATTAATGCAAATGCTGATTATGTAGACCACAATATAGTTATGGATTTCAAGGAATGGTAACAAAATAAATAAGACTTCAAGCATTTACTTTATTTTTAACAATATCTGCAAATGGAGCAAGCACAAAATGTCTTATAATAAAGACAAAGATATATATTTTTTGCTTCAACTAAATAATCACATGGTGGTTTTTACATACAACGTTTATAATCAATCAATATACATTTATATTGCCGATGTGCAGATATTTTCCAGACAAAAACAACTGAAAAATCAATCAATCAATCAATTTTGCTTCAGTTTTTACTGATTTTTTTAATCTCGCATTCAGAAAGTTTGATTTAAAATATTCGGTCACTTTTGCATTTCTTTGAAGTAAAAAAATAAAATAATAAATCGTCATTTCATCACAATAATCAGAGCCAAAATGTCTTATTGTGACATCACTAGACTTGACTGTATTTTTAGCACCAGTAGCTTGAACACAAGTACACGCTAACACACAAGTACACGCTAACACACACACACACACAGAGTATAAAAGTGTTAAAAAGTCACTCACATCTCCTCTTGTCCTGGAGTCCTGCCTTTTCGTCTCGTTCGATGTTGGGGAGATTTGGGATTTTCTCATAAAGGTCGTCTTCCTCTTCTGAGTGGTGCTCCTGGTATTCCTGACATGAAGAAACAAACATACTCTGTGTAATCCATTACTTTTATCATTTTCAACTCAAAAATACATAATAAGTGTTTAGGGTTGTGCAATCCAAAATATTACTCACGGTATATGATAGAAATAGACAGCAGTTTTTGTTGTTGTTGTGTTTTTGAAGTAAGGTACACGATCTTTAAAGAACTTCTAAACTAGAAATGTATCTGGATGGCAAATACTTTTGATATAGCAGGCTTAATATTGTCACAGCTTGTCTTTCATTATGTTTAATCATTGCACTATATTGCACCGTCACTTGTCCAAAGAACCTAGTATAACCCTATAATAAAAAAAAAAATCTGCATATCAGCATTTGTTCCTTCACCTTCCTAGTAAACAGAGCTACAGACTTGGAACGTGCAGAAGTGAAACATTAATTGATTTGAGAATCTTTTACCAGCTGTCGTATAGTGTCTCCGAGGGCCTTGTGCCAGTCGCTGATGATGCTCTCTGTGTCGTACTGTACGAGAAACTCCACACCGTTCTTACTTTTCAACTGCAAGAAAGAAAAACGCATTTTAATGTGAGTTTGGAGCTGTACAGGGAAGAGGCCACTGCACATCCGACTGCAATGGAACTCCAGCTTCGTACAAAAGTCAATAGTTTTCTATGTGATCCAGTTTTGAATGCATGTATTTTCACAAGATAAGTTGTTGCTAGACTGGTAATACATACAGTCTAAGGGTAATACACACAAACAGACAATGAAACGAGAAAAGCGTTATTGAACAATTAACCAAAAACAAAATACTAAAATTATTGTTACCCCTGTCATGTGTGCACTAGATTTCCGTGATAAAACCAAGAGCTCTAAGCGCATTTTATTTTTTACATTTATGATTATTCAAGCCTTTATCAACACTGCTATACTCGCCTATCTCCAAGGGGACAACTTAATTACAAGCAACATGAGAAATATCAAAGACGTTATTTGTTATAATGTTGGTAATTGGCTCATAGCTTGTAAAAATCCCAAGTAAAAATCTCAGAAAATGTGCATATTTCTAAAAAGTGGACAGTATGCCATAACCATAGATATGCATGTGATGAGTCTATATGATATACTGAGGGTTGAATTACAGAAATAAATGAACTTTTTAACAATATTCTATCTTTTATCTGAAATTTGTCTGTATTTATTGCTGCCGTTTTACCAACCCCTTTGAAGTTCAAAAGTACCATATTTGTCAGCTATTGAGTTGGATTGCCGTTTTTCAAGTTGAATTTTTTTCCTAAGCAAGCACCTCTAGCACATTCTTCTTGCTGGACTTGTCCTTGGACGCCCAGTTGATGGTGGCCCCTCTCAGGTCCACTTGAATCTCAGGCACAATCTGATTGGTCTTGTTCTGCAAAAGATTGTTATAAAAAATAATAATTATCAAACGTTTACAAATCAACACAACATTTCTCATGACAACAACTGCCTCAAAACAAAAAGTTTGCAGCGTTACCCGAGGCCTCACTTGTTTGCGTCAGGACACAGAAAAGCATAAAAGCCAACTGGAGTTTTAGATTTCATATTTCTCCCCGGTTTTTAAGAATGAGCCAGAAGTCGGTGTTAAATATACAGTACATGAGGTAAAAGGTTATGAAAGCTGAAGGGTACTTAAACTTTGTCAAAATCGGTCAAATACATTAGAGATGGGGTAGTCAACTTTCATTTTTCATAATTTAAAATTGGCTAAAAGTAAAATGTTGTGAACAAAAAAATGTGTTTGAAAGTTTTGTCTCTTTCTTTAGGAAACACATGCTATTTTTGAGCAAGGTCAAATTAAAATGTCTTGATTGGTGTGGACATTGTAAGAGAGAAAAGAGGTTTTTTTCCCCATACATCAATTACTTTTCTTCAAAATTATAGCAATGTGGTGAGAAATTTCACAGAATTTATGACTGGGAGGGACAATGTTAACCCCATCACTTTAGTTCAAACTTTTGTGATTTAAAAGTACAAGTTTTTAAAATGTTATTAATCTTCCAAAAGTGAGATCCTTCCATTATTTGGAGATAACCGAGCATGCTACATGGACTGTACAGAAGTATGGATTTCTGGAATACGGCATAAAGAGATCATTTTGGAGAGACAAAACATTTTTTATTAAACATATAAAAATGACAACTTCTAAATCTAAACGTTACCAAGGCTCCTGTCGCAGCAGATTTGGGGTCTTTATGAAATGTCAGAACTCCATGTTGAAGAACGGTCCAAGTTTGTGCCCAGTTTTTCCTTCGAGACAAAAGACGGTATGTTAAAAGGCACAATGGAACGCCCTGTAGGCCAAGTGACATCTGATCCATTTACTACAAAACATCACAGCTATATCCAGGGCAATCGGTCAAAGCTTACCTCACTTTTTTGCCGTTTTCACATATTTTAGTTTTGTTGAGAATTCCAGCTTTTTCCAAATTATTCACCTGAAAAACAGAAAGGTCTTTTTGTGCTGATGACCAAAGGACTTAATAATAATATAAATATGAATATGAATAAAAAAAGGAAAGACATAGAGGAAAAAGGTCATTCATTTTTGTGGAGAATGAATTTAACAAAAATCACAATAAACATTGAATATGGCTTCGGTTAATTTGATTTATGGAATGTGTGCATTGTGGTTGGAACTGAAGCAGATCCATTTGGACAAGTTCACTCAGAAAGAAAAGCAAGATCGCAGACTGCACACGTTTGCAATTATTGTCCATCCTTTTTACTCCACATTTTTCAGTTACATCAATTCAAAAACGGAAAAACGGAAAAGCCAAAAACTATTGACTGTTACGTTTTTAGAATTTACTTAGTGGGCATGCTACAAACAAAATAAAGTTGTATAAAAGGCCAGGAACAAAAGAGAATGGAGCTAGGAAGTCTGACATCAATTACTGTGCGTCTGAGTCCAGGCTAAAGCTAATTAGGGCTGTAATCAACGTTTATTTTGATCATCTGTTAGTTGGCAGGTTATTCTTTTTTGATTAATCAATTAGTCGTGTACTGTAGATCCACAAAGTTCTGTGAATATCGGATTTTTATACATTTGACCAAAACAAAGCTCAAGTGATCCCCCTGGAAAACATCTTCTTAGATATAACTTGTTACACATTGAGTTGTTTTATTTAAAAATACTTTGTAAACACATTTTCATTTTATTCTGCAGTTATTAAGAATTATCTGAGTCATATATGTTTGTTTTCAGCCACGGTAAGTCTATGTAAGGTGCAACTGTTTCAATAAATGATTAGTAAGTAAGTAAGTTAGTAAGTAAGTTTTTATTTATATACCGCCTTTTCACTGCAGATCTGAGTCTCAAAGCGGTTTACAATTGTTAATTTTGGGCATTTGTCTCTCACTCCACACAGAGATGGGAGCGGGGCCAGTACAGGAGGCACATGCCAGAACTATTGGGCATATTTTTAGTGGTAGGGGAAACCGGAGTACCCGGAGGAAACCTACGCAGACACGGGGAGAACATGCAAACTCCACTCAGAAAGGCCCTGGTCCGACCGGGATTCGAACCCAGGACCTTCTTGCTGAGAGGCGAGAGTGCTATCCACTCAGCCACCGTGCCGCCCTGTTGCGATTCATATTCACTTGTTACAGCCCTAAAGCTCATATAAACGATATGCCATCTGCTTGATTCTGTCATTTCTACCACACTTCTCTCAGCGGTTGCAGGTTCCATTCCTGAGCTTTTCTGTCTGGAGTTTGCATGTTTCTCCCCCGTGTCTGGGTCTAGGTGGATTTCCTTTAAGCTCCAATTTCCCACCACCCAAAACAAGCATAGGTAAACTCCTCCAGTGAAGGTCCTGACCAGCTTTGAGCCCGGAATTGAGAAATGATGTCACGCTAAATCCTAAATTAAATGTCTTATCTTACAAATACAAAGCTACAGTACATAATGTATATAGGAGAAACCACATGATTGCAAAACGATAAATAATCAAGGCATGCAATGGATTTTGATAATACAAAACAAAATCAATTGTTTAAATGAGAGATATGATCCATGCATATTTGACATTATAGATAGACAATTGCCATCTATAATAAAAGTCGGATCTAACTTTACACGCACGTTACAGCGGAGCCACTGGGAGGTCAGATAATACGGGTTTCTGTACGGCCTGAACCCAAACGCCTTGAAAAAAAAAATAAAAAAAATAAAACAAGAGGAGAAGGGAAAGAGGTGTGAAAGCAGCCAAGAGGAAGTTAGGGATGCCAGATTTCACATTTCACACAATTCAGCGGAAAGATAGTTTTTCTACTGGCTCTTTCAACTGCAGCACTAACCCATGCAGTTATTACTATCAAACCTATGTTACGTGAGCGTGGTTGTAAAGTAAGACTAAAATCATGCTTAATCATCAAAAGGAGATACAGAAATCAGAAGCAGGTATCGAAATAGCCTTAGAATACAATGTACATTTCAGAATGCTTTAAGATTGGTCAAAGTCTGCTTAGAGTTCATAAAATAATAATTGTATTTTGTGTTGACTTCTCTTACACTTCCAGATACTTATTCCCACTATATAATTAATTATGCCAAGACTATATGACCCCATTAACATAAATAGCACTTGTTGTCTAAATCCTGATTTTTTTTTTCTAGATGAATCATTGTAATAACTGGTAAACTATACGTATTTTTTGTTTTTAAGGATCGGAGAAGTTGATACTGACGTTGTGCTGAATTTCAGGGGAGTTCCCGGTGCTGGAGCTGTCGCTGCTGTAGTCCGACGTGGTTCTTCTGTGAGTGGGAACAAACCTCTGCACAAAACAAAGACACAGTTTTAAACGTCTGTTAAATAACTACACTGCAGCAGACCCTGACCGTGGGACATATGTTCACACTTTCAGTCATTATAAAGAACCTTTGAACATCCCACAGTGAAGCAACATCATCATGGGTTTAGTTTTAAGCTTACACATAGTAAATATTTTTTGAGGGTTTTGAAGTTCAAGTTTAGGCAAAACTGGCAGATGGAGAAACAGGACAGATACTATGCAACTAGGATTAGATTAGATTAGATGCAACTTTATTGTCGTTACAAAGTCAAAACAATGCAACAAAATGCAGTTTAGCCTCTAACCAGAAGTATACAAGTATAGGAAAATATTTACAACACATAAATATATAAGCATATGTGTGGGACTATTGAAACAAGCCATGCTAAGACGCTCCCGGCCAACGTGAAATTTAGTGAACGAAGTTAATTGATTAGAGCCAGTGGGAACAATCTTACAATCTCAGTAAATTAGTATGTTTTGGGTTTATGCACATAATCCTGGCCCTTTTTTGCGATAACTTAAAACTGCTGATCTGCGGCAATATTCTAGGGATGCATCACGCTTGGGTCAATTAAAGTGAAGTCGGGTTTACATAGGACTATTTCTGGTCCACATGAGGGAAAATACTGATGATGCAGAATGAAACAAGTTCACCTGAATAGAACTGATAATCATTTGCCATAGAATTAAAAATATTGGTGCATAAAATGTGAGTACTAAATTCAACACTTTTAACCTTTAGTATAGATGCTTGATGTGGTTGTCTTGTTGTTTAAGATATAATTATGAGTGAAATAAACCCAAAATAAACCAAAATAAACAACCAGCTTGTTTTATTCCTGTACATTTTACCTTTTTTTGTTTGTGTACTTGTCTGGCGCACACTGGGGACTGAAACTGAAAATGTATTCCAATGCGTTTTTACTGCAAATTGCAAAATAAAATGAATCTGAATGTTTTTGGCACATACAGGAAGTTTGTGTTTAGTTGTATCATTGTTTTGACCAGGAGGCTGGACTGGACTAATGAGTTGACAAGTTAACAAAAAAATCTGCAAAAATATGTTATTAAAGTCTGGACGGTCCTTGCCCTTGAGAACAATGTTAAACCCTGTCTGTCTGCAGATTTGAACCAACTCCCACATGTTTTTCTCTCCTGCCCTCTCCTCCTGAAGCAGACACAGGCGCTGGTGTGAATTTGCCTTGCTAAACAGTTGTTAAAGTCCCTGGTACGCCCTGATAGCAGGCGCACCACACCCATCATAAGCCTCTGAGCCTCCGTGTCGGTGCAGGTCTGAGGTGTGAGCTGTACCCCTTCGTCCTGGGACGGGCTCAGAGAGGCAGGGCCCATACTGTGCCTCCAGTTCTTGATCACATTTGTGTTTTCTGCTTCCAGTCCTCCGTTCTCCACACGCAGATGTCCGGGAGGAAGAGGGGCCTGTCAGGATACAGATATATGTTTAGGTTGGAATTGTTATTGGGCTCCTCATCAGCGGAGTTTGTCAGTTATTGAGTAAAGAAGGAGCCTATAAAAGTAGCTGGCTGTACAAAAGACATAACAGTGAAGACTACAACAATTCAATTTCCATCAATCATTATGTATGTATGTATAATATTTACACAAATCCTGGATTAAGAGTTTGCCACAAAATAATCTTCAAAAATATATTGTTTTTAGCAGAGAATGGTAATGCACTCAACACTTTAATTGCCCTGGAGTAACGTTAGAAAGTCAGTGAGTGCTATGGGATTTTTTTTAATAGTTAGCATTCTATTAATTGTGACTGAAAAAAGTAATGTGCTTTGAGTGCAACAAACCATTGGGTTTGAGCTCAATTTCCCATAATAGACACACAAATAATGATTCAACACTTCTGAAGCAATTTGCTTGGAAAAAAAAGTTTGCAGACAATGGCAATAGTATTAAACAGTAGGTTTTCAAAATATTTAATGACGTGATTAGGCAACATAATTCAAAGATATTTACCATGCCAAAGTTCTAGTTTTTTCACATGTGGAAGCACATTTTGCCTGCAAATTTGTTTATTCAAACTTGTCACTTTTGCATTCCCCATAACTATCATCATAATGTGTATACCTGCTTCCTTTAAGAAAAAAACACATAGACAAACAGTGTTTACTCAGAAAGAAAACAGTATTTCCAGCAGCCTAAGTTTTAAATTATCATCCATCCATTTGAATACAGCCACATCTAAAATAATGGCAAGGACATATCCAGTTATTCTTTTGGTCATTACATTTCTTGTGGTGCAAGAAGCCACTAAACAAAAACATCCCAACGCCAGATTACACACATATCAAACTCACAGAGGCAGCAGTAGCAGTAACCGTGTGTGTAAAGTAAGTCATAATCCCATGTTCAAATGGTTGTGTAATTGCAGTGTTAAAAAAAAGAAGAAAAAGCTGAGCCGTGTTTACCTCTGGAAGGGTCCACTGGGATCTGGAGCCGCCTCTCAGATAATAGTAGGTCTGGCCCTGTTCATCCACGGACTTGATCCACTGTTACACAACAAGAGCAGAAAGAGGTGTGTTTAAGCAAATGCTCTCCAAAATAAGCATTTGATTTGACTGACACGCGCCCATGACGTTTTTAACATACAGAAACTCTGGAGGGCTAATGCACGGTTTGTACAAATGCAATGCTAACTTTCATCAATCTTTAATGTTCAGTTATGTCAAAACAAATAGGAAAACTTTCTCTCATTACAGTTTCTTACCTGCCATTTAATTGACGGGGAATAACTCACCATCGTAAAATAGTCTTATTTAGCTCTGTTCCAAAAACTAAAAATTGTTGGGTGATAAGCCACAATAATAATACTAATAATCAATCTGTAAAGCACTTTGCAAAAACTGTGTACAAAGAGCTGCACAGAGAAAAAGACAAAAGTCATAATAATAATGCAACATATCAAAACCAAATTTCAAACAGACAGAGGGCATACAGCAAGAAAGACAAAACAATAACATCATTTGATAATTAGGACAAAACATGTAGTCAAGGGCTGCAAGATATCTCACTGTGAAAACAAATCTTTGCCAACCTCATTCTCCATTATTAGAGGCTAGGCGTGTTTATTTGTATTGCACAATTTATACACGTTCATTGAGATCTATAACAGAACCATATTTTTGCCAGTAATAAAAATATATGGAGTAGTTTAAGCAATTTGCTATAGAGAATATTAATTATTGTCATTAAGCAGATCTGCCATTGAAACAAAAATTGTAAAATAAGTCTTGTTCCTTCAGTCAAACTATACAAAATCAAGATGTTTTCACCTTAAATTAAGCAATTTTAGATTATTTCTTGTCTTGTATTTTTTGCAAGTCTTTGCGATTTGCTTATAGCGACTTTGATTTTATTGCGGTACGCTTCAGAGCAAAGTGGAAGTATATTGTCGAAACATGTCTGGGCAATAACATCACTATCTTACAATTGTCTGGTAAAGAAGAACCAAATAACTTAATTCGACCAAGAAGACAAAATTAACCTTCCTAAACTTTGCAGTTCATTGTGCAGCCATAGTCTACATGTTTTCCCAGCATTCCCCATCAGTCTGTATCAGTCTGTATCAGTCTGTATCAGTCTGTATCATTCTGTATCAGTCTGTATCAGTCTGTATCAGTCTGTATCAGTCTGTATCAGTCTGTATCAGTCTGTATCAGTCTGTATCATTCTGTATCAGTCTGTATCAGTCTGTATCAGTCTGTATCAGTCTGTATCAGTCTGTATCAGTCTGTATCATTCTGTATCAGTCTGTATCAGTCTTTATCAGTCTGTATCAGTCTGTATCAGTCTGTATCAGTCTGTATAATAAATCTATAATAAATCTTTATTTATAAAGCACTTTTCAAAAACAATGTTTACAAAGTGCTGCACAGCATAATAAACAATACATCAGTCATAATACAAAGTTAAAACAAATAAGAATGAATGTAAGAAGACAAGACAAACAGAGGAAACACAAGACCACAAAACAGACAGGACAGACAGTAAAATACAACATTATAAGTTTAAAGCTGACAATTAAAAGCTGTTTTATAAAAGTGGGTTTTAAGAAGAGATTTAAAAGAGGATACTGATGGTGCTAGCCTTATCTCCTCGGGCAGGTCGTTCCAAAGCCGAGGAGCCCGGACAGAAAAGGCTCGATCACCTTTCGTCCGGAGCCTCGACCTTGGAATGGTCAGCAAGGACCTGCCCGAGGATCTAAGGCTGCGGGGGGGCTCGTAGGGGGTTAAAAGTTCATAAATATAGCTTGGTGCCAGACCTAAACGAGCTTTAAAAGTAATCAGTAAAATCTTGAAATCAATTCTAAATCGCACAGGGAGCCAGTGGAGGGACGCTAAAACAGGGGTGATGTGCTCCCTTCTGTTAAAACCAGTGAGAAGTCTGGCTGCTGCGTTCTGAACCAGTTGGAGGCGGGAGAGGGATTTAGCATCAAGACCGGAGAGGAGGGAGTTACAGTAATCGAGGCGGGAGAAGATGAGGGCGTTGACGACTTTATGGAGATCGGGAGGAGTGAGAATGTTTTTAATCTTAGAGATGGTGCGGAGGTGATAGAAGCAGGTTTGGGTGGTTTTGTTGATGTGGGAGCGGAAAGTGAGGTGAGAATCAAAAATGACACCGAGGTTACGGGCGGAGGGAGTGATGTTTGAGGACAGGGGGCCGAGGTGGGTTTGGATGTGGGATATGGATGGAGGCGGGTTGATGAGGAGGACTTCTGATTTGGAGGTGTTGAGTTGAAGGAAGTTATGGGCCATCCAACGGTTCACATCATTAAAACAGTCGACCACAGCAGCCAGACTTCCAGGGTCGTTTGGTCTCAGCGGGAGGTAGATCTGTGTGTCGTCCGCATAGCAGTGGAAGGACACGTTATGACGGGCCATAACGTGTCCTAGGGGGAGCATATAAATAGAGAATAAAATGGGGCCTAAAATAGAACCTTGCGGCACACCACAGGTGATGGGGGCTGTTGAGGAGGTAAAATCACCCATGGTGACCGCAAAGGTTCTTTCTAAAAGATAAGAATCAGTGTATCAGTCTGTATCATTCTGTATCAGTCTGTATCAGTCTGTATCAGTCTGTATCAGTCTGTATCAGTCTGTATCAGTCTGTATCAGTCTGTATCATTCTGTATCAGTCTGTATCATTCTGTATCAGTCTGTATCAGTCTGTATCAGTCTGTATCATTCTGTATCAGTCTGTATCAGTCTGTATCATTCTGTATCAGTCTGTATCAGTCTGTATCAGTCTGTATCAGTCTGTATCAACCTGTATCAGTCTGTATCAGTCTGTATCAGTCTGTATCAGTCTGTAGCAGCAGGACTTACTTGCTCAGGCGTGTGTTCGTTGGTGAAGATCCACGTCCCGTTCTCCACATTCAGGTTCCAGCCGGCGGGAGTGCTGCGGTCCAGGGAGGCGCGGGGGATCATGGTGCGGGTCACGTGGCACAGGCTGAACTCTGAAGAGAGGGGGGGAGAGGGTCCGGCCGCCACATAGTCCTCATACTGCTCGGGTGGGTCCACGGGCGGGTAGTCGTCTGGGGGATAGTCCTCTTCAGGAAGAGGCGGCTGCCCAAACAGATGCAATCAACAAACATGGACACAACATGGAAACAACATGAGGTTTTTTCAGTATAAAGACCAGTTTTTTAACCAGTGTTATTTTAGTGTGTCTTGAGATATTGTTTGGTGTGTTTGGTGTAGAATACTTTGAAAATAAATTCCATTCCAGAATACTTAATAGATACTGTAGATAACTGTATTTGCAGACTCGAGGTCCAGATCAACACGGACAAGCAAAAAATACATGATCTAAAATGTATTTTGTATAGTATTCAATTAAACTTTGGAAAAAAATAGTGCCTGTATTCCAAATACTTAAAATACTTGTGTCTATACTTTTATTTTTTTATTATCTATATTTATGACAAATTAAAGTTTATTTACAAAATGGATGAAAAGGTAAATTTATAAATATTTCTAACCACAACCTCAATAAATGATGTTCTTCAATTAAAAAAGGTATTCTCCACTTTAAAAATACCTTAAAACATAATGTGAGAAAGTATGTATTGTATGTAAATAGTGTGTAAATAATTTAAAAAAAAAAATGTGAGGAGATAAAATAGAAAGACTGTTTGCGCTTGTTTGATTTTCTGCATAAAACACTTTGAGAATGACTCCGGAATGTTCATAAAGGCTGCAGCGTGACTGTCTGCACTGATTCAAAGGAATTTCGGATCTGCCAGTTTACTCGTCTTTATGAAGAAGCATTTGATTTACCGGGCGTTGGAGCTGCTCAATTATGGAAAAAAATAACAATCACAATTATTTTTTAACAAAAATTGAAATGATTATTATTAATTATTATTATTTTAAAGTCCTCCCATATCATTGTGTTTGACCGTGCTGTTCCAAATATATGTTTTTATGATACTGTATAATTATGTAGTGGACGCTGCACTGGATTACATTTAACACATACTGTATACAGTTAAAACAAGGGCTTTACATACAAGTTTTTCACATTTCCAGGTATTAAGTCATATTTTACATGCTAGTCAGGTGGATTGATTCATTATTTTGATATTGGTAAAGGTCAAAATAATCACAAAAAGTCCTTGCTGAAGTCTTGAGATGTTGTTCAAAAATACCCACGCCAAAACAACCCTACAACATGATGCTACCCCCCCCCCCCCCTCCTCCCTTCCGGTTTCAACTGCATCTTTATAGATTGTTCTATATACACAGACAAATGTTATTCGATTTGTCTATTCTTGTGCAGCACATTTGGGGGCATGTCAGACAGTAGTAAATGTGTTTTACAAATAAACTTGACCTTGACCATGATCAATCTTGCGTGTATTCAATTACAGCCACACTGTGCATTTTATGGAAGAACAAAATAGAAATGTCTATATCAAGATTTGATAATGCAGATGGAAAGCAGCAGGAGCTAAATCTGGTGCAAAACAGATTTTCTTTTGTAAGACTAATGGTTTTGTACATTAGCACTGATTAATGCACACTAAACAATTCCCACTCTCTTTATCACTAAATGTTACTATTTACAACAATTTATGATTCATTTGTTTGTTTATTCATTTCAAGCATTTCACATTAGGCACAAGTCACCTCTTGTCCATCATAGTTTCCAACAAAAATAGATAAAGTATTGCTAACATGCATAAGAGGGGATTTAATAGTTTGATCAGCATTGCAAAGATATCGCAAAGTTCTATTCATTTACTCTGACCTCACTATAAATGCATTTTACACTTTGACTGTAGAGTAAAAGGATTTTTTAAATTTTATTTTAGTATAGAGTTATTATTCATTTTTATTTTGCTGTGTGCTCCTCATTCCTACCGTTCTGCAACTTGTAATGCAACACTGGAATTTCCTCACTGTGGGACGAATAAAGGATATCTTCATCTTCAGTGATTTTAAATAGTTACAAAAAATAGCCAAAAACATGTTCCTAAATTGGAATTGAGAAGACATGAGTTTATGGAATTTCTTTGACAGTACATCTACCTCTTCAAGGACAACAGGAACTTGTCAAATCCATGCATACGTGCAAAGTGAAACCAAAACAATCGATACATTGCAGTTATTATGTCATTAGTGAGAAGATGGATTTTGAAATGGATTTATGCGGAGGCTCTTTGCATTAGCACATGTTGAGTGCATGTGCCGCGTTCATCCTTGAAAGGCCTCATCCTACTTTACTCCATGATTTTGATAAATCACATCTCGATGACCTGCTAGCGTTATTTCTGTCTTTCTTGTTCCAGACGATCTAAAACAGGAAAAAGGAACTTGCATTGTTTTGCTATATTAACAAAACTGATATATTTACACCTATCAAGCATGAAAATATGAGTCGTTAGGAATTTTGAGGGTTTTTTAACTTTTGGACAATCAATAGTAATGTCTTGGTTGTAGTGTATTTCCTGGTTTGTGAAATCACTTCCTGACCTCCACAGAGACTGCATAATTTTCATTATATTCTTCAGAACCAGCTGCCCTGTTGTATTTATTTTATAATATTACAATATATTTAATTAAAATAGGGAGAAGGCGTGAGATTTAACAAACTTTGGCTTCTTCTTACTCCTTGCGAATTGAGTCTTGTTGACATTTTCTTTATGGGCGACAGTAGCTCAGTTGGTAGAGTGCTGGTATTTGGACCTAATAGTCGTGGGTTTGAGCCCACCACGACCCATGTCACCTGCTCCCACTGATGTCTGCTGTCGTTGTGTCCCTGGGCAAGACACTTGACCCCACATTGCCTGAAGTCCCCTGCTGAAAGACTAAGGCCATCTCGACCCACCACCTGCAGGAGGATCAGAGGGACTGATGCTATGAGACTTGGGTGGCAGCTCTGGTTGCGAACCCCCCGACCCAGAATTGGATTTATTAAGGGGAAGACAATGACATGACATTTTTATTTATTTTTTTCATTCCACGTTCAAATCAAATCAATTCATTCATTATAGGGACTCATGGGACTTGAAAAACGACTGCATATGTTGAGTACGGTCCTTGTGGATGCAGAAGGGTGTAAGGACAGTAGCGATCCAGGACTTTTAACTGCATTCATGGACATTTATTAACATTTATGGACATTAATCCTCAGCTCGCTATGAACCAATGGCTCCAATGCGTTTAATATATTATAATATTTCCCCGTGAAAGCGAGTGGAGATGGCTGACATAGGGACGTTTTTACAAGTCTGTCAAAAAAGAGTTCAGAATACAAAAAAAGAAAAATAAATAAGAAATTAACACTTACAACTCACTCTGACTCATTATCGTTAGATGAGGCCTGTTGCTCAAAGTCAGAATCTATGTCACCTGCTGAACATACTGTGCTCAATGAACCGGCTTCTTTTTCAAGACCTTTTTAATATATATTGCTTAAAAAATGAAATCATTATCTGTAATTATATAGTATTTACTGAACTTTCAAACCACAACAAATGTTATCTATCCAAGCGACTACTCAAAAAAATAAAAAATAAACAGGATCTATCTCTAGACTTCACATGCATTTATTTTTATCTGCTTTTTCAGACAAGTGAAAAGTGATAAAAAGAGGAAGTCTCACAAGATTAAATGTTTTCTGACACGAAGAAGAAAGTATTGCGGTCTGATTGTTTTCTTTTTTTTTTACATTTACACTTTGACACTTTCTGTTGGGACAAAAACAAATATTTATGAAAAAAAAAAGTAAGGACCCTCAGCTTTAACGCTTAATATAGTTATTTTCTCTTAGCGGCCAATTTCCAGGCAATAAAAATGACTGTCACGTATATTATTACGTTCTATTCTAATGCCAACAGAAACTACCCAAATGATTGCATTTGAATGTTAGTAAAGATAACCATCCTTCACCCAACCACCAACCAGGAGGCCAAAAAGCTCTTATCTGACATATTTTTTAGAAATATGACTAAGATTACATTCTCTGAAAAAGGGCCAAGATATTATAAATTCTGTATATATAAACTTATATTACTGGTGCGAGTTGGATACTGTGGTTCAAAGAAGGAAACAAATGTGGCTGTACCTAGTAGTATAGAATAATAATATCTTCATGATTGATTTTCAAGACGAGAAAGAGTATAAACAGATATAATGATATTGTTTTTGTTGTTTTGTTGTAAATCCAGACTTAATACATATTTATTCAGACTGGCTTTTAATACTAGTTGCATGGCGATGCTTTAGTTTCTCATGGTTTTATCTAACTGTTTTATTGTTTGGTTGTATGAAAGTGTTTTAACAGATTTTATGTGATCTTATTGTAGAGCACTTTGGTCGCCTTGTGCGTTGTAGAGGGCTCTATAAATAAAATGTGATTGATTGATTGAAATAGTTGTGTTATAGTTGTGTAACTGACCAGGCAGCCAAGTGAAAGTGTGTGTGTGTGTAGATGGAGTGGGAGTTCATAAGTCTCATTACTTCTTCCCACTGCATTTCAGGTCTCCAGGGGTGAAGAGGAAAATGTATATGTATTTATGTCAAACAACTGAATCCTGAATGAATTTGGAAAAAAAAAAAAAAAAGTGAAATGAAAAGAATATACAGAATAGTTTGTTCATTTCCCATGGCTCGAGACAGAAGCACGTGTGGTTGCGTATGTAGGTGGGAGCGATGTGAATCCACTCTAATCAGAGCGTTTCCCTGAGGCCTTCCTAAAACAGGACAGCGGATCTAAAAGCAGCAGCGGCGTGTCCTCTCTTACCGGGCCGTCCTCGTGAAACCTGTGCACGCTCATGGGCTCCATCACGGGCGGGTCCCAGGACGTCTCCCCAGACATGGTGTGGTAAAAGTAGGTCCGACCACTGCTCTCATCCACCAACTCTTCCCAGTCGGAGGAGGGCGAAATGGGTGGAGTCTGCGGAGGAGACGGCGTGTAGTGTCCGGGCTTCAGTTCCGAGGGGGTGCAGTCCGTGAAGGGGTTGTCCCAGGTGGTGTGGCCCGTGGCGGGGTGGTAGAAGTAGTCCTGGCCGCTGTCCTGGTCAAAGTGGACCTCCCATCCCTCTGGGTCGAGACAGGGCGGGGAGAAGGAGGAGGGGGCCGACGGGGGGGAGGTGGATGAGATGCTCTTACGAACCTGCTCTACGTTGACATAAACGGCCGAATGGTCATCCTCCACCTGTGGGTAGAGAAGAAAAGGCGGTATGTCAATGTCAACTTTAATTATGCAGCATTTTACAACACGAGCTGCCCAAAGTTCTCCACATGCACAAACATAAACAAAGTAAAAAAACAGCATGAAAAACACAAAATACATGTGAACTTCTACCAGTTTATGTGTTCCAACTACGGCTACGTGTCTTTTAGAGTTTGCTGAGATGATACCTACTTCAACACAGCGGCCATGGTACTTACCTTTTCAATTCTATACGATTTGGTAAAAAAAAAAATAGACGTTTGGTCCTTATATAACAGCGTTCAGCCCCATTTTCACAATAGTTATTGGTGCTTTTTAGACTGATTCACTTGTTTGCAATGTGTGGGACTATTACCAAAAATAACTAATAGTATAATGAGAGTACATTATAAAATTATTATAACATATTATATCTAGTACAATTTGACACATATTAATATTTGGTTATCAATTTAAATCAAAAGATACTTGCAAAAACATAAAATTAAGAATTATCCAGCAGCATACACAAAGACAGGCCATCAAAGCCAAATATATCAAATATAAGTATAAAATAAGTAGTATAATTGTGTGGTTAATTGAAACGAATGGGAAATAAATTTGCCAAAAGGGAAATGGATGAAGCGATACAGAAAAACTCCACCTCCAAGTAATTTAGGGAGAATTCTGTTGCAGCTACAGTGTCTGCACCTTTGTGAGAATATTTCCCCTTTTTTCACATTCACAAGTATTTCTAATTTCCAGAAATGATTCACCCAATGAACCGAGAGAGGCGGGAGGTCGATCGGAGTGCAAGTCAATAAATTATCTGTAACTAAAAGTAGACTGAAGAAACAAACTTGGTGCCCACTGGTCTGAGTAAAGCTTCAACACTCTGCCATCTGCAACTTTCAAACAGGAAGTGGACAAAAGCAGAGAAAAGACAACAAGAGAGACGCCCACAGACCTCATTCCGGTGTCATCATGTCGTGCTCAAACACTGAAATAGTCCCCAAAATGTGGCAAGGTCAACGTTTCACTTCCAACATTAAGGTTATGGCCATCAACCGTAACAAGCTCAGCCTGAACCTTTATTATTTTATGAGCTTTGAACCATCTTATAAAAGTTGCCTGCATTTCTCAGTAGTGTCACATTGTCCTGCATTCAGGGTTTGTGTGGTCAGACAAAGAAAACAAAAAAATCACAATGTACAATTGCTATTATAACTGTGATATTTGTTTCTGTAGTAATCATATTAATCATGGGAATAGTGCTGCAAGGCGAGTAGTCATCAGACAGAACCAATCATTAAGTGACATTAGCTATGAATAAAGACTTTGTTATTATGGCTGGTGCCCATTATTTTAGGATCGAGAAAAATGCAGATAAGCCACAACACTATTTTGAAGGCACTTATTTACTGCATGATTTTTAAACTCAGATACTATCCAAAAATAACATTGCTTCTCTACGCCTGTAGGGCAGGGGTGTCAAACTGATTTTGATCAGGGGCCGATCAAAATTAGTGGTTTTATATATTTTTCTGTTACTGTTTGTTTGGAACAAAAAAATGGACCAAAAGGCAAAATTTGACTTGATAATATACAATTATCTCGTTTTAGAAAGCATTAAATAGTATGGTTGTTTTCAGTTCAAAATGAAGTATAAGATGCCATACAGTCATTTGTGTGCACCATGTGCACTTGTATATTGTAAATAGTAACTGTAACTCTATTTTAAATTAAAATTTATTCTTTAGAAGTGTTTTTTATTCTTATTTTTATTATCTCTTTCTGACTGTTGCACTGAGCCAAAGCAATTTCCAAGTCTGTGACCTCCTGTTACTTACGTGGCAATAAAAATGATTCTGATTCTGATTTGAATATATATTTGAATATATATCAATGTTGAAAGATAATTATAATAGAAAATCTGTTCATGAGCGACTTGTGTTTGACTGCAGAATTAACCAAACACTAGTGAATTTCTCCCATTTATATCAAATATTAGAAAATTAAGCACAATAATTTAAATGTATAAGTTTTTAGACACCTTCTGAACATTTTCCTGACACACATACAAGGGCAAAATAACAAAACAAGCTGTTCCTGTTGTTACATTATACAAAATGCAAATTCAGAGCATCAGACTCATTTGTTTAGAGTGAAACTTCCATCAAAGGGTTTTTCTGTTCAAAACTGATGCTGATAAACAACAAATCCCAAACGGCTGAAATATTCGGAGTCTGAAGTATATTTTTCAATAAAGTTTCCAACTTACGTGCGTGTCGACTCTAGTGTTCTACTGCGGGAAAGCTTTGCTCAAACGTTCATCACAGACGTGTGTTTTAAACCACCGTTTGTTTTCTCGTCACTATCTGTGGTTGTTACGCATCGAGCGGCTGCTAAAAGTATTGGACATGAGTTACCAGCACTGCAGTCCACATTCTCTACTACCTGTAAGTCCACCTCAATGCATCAACCATTAAAAACATGAACATTTTTTTTTTTAAAGAAACTGTAGGACTTTCTAAATATCATTCCAAAAAACATCAAGTGCCCATTGGATCCCAATAGTTAGTTTTTACAGTTCATGTTTCAGTCTTTCACGTTATTGTTCCTATAGTCCACTTTGAACAAAAGGATAAATAATAAGTTGCAAACCGATTAGATAAATTAAATATTCAGCCAATATTGTGAATTCCTAATAGAAACGACAAAGACGCAGCTGGTCTTTATCACTGACAGAAGTAACTTGAAAATAATATCACTGGGTAATATAGTTACTCCCATATTAATGGATTTTACACTTTGGAGAGATTATGTGCATGTGAACACTGGACTCTATCTACAGATGTGTATTTGTGGGTAAAAAAAATGACAAACCGATCGAATGCTTGAGATAACTGTACACTGTAAGCTTCACTTTTACTTTTACTACTGATCAAAATGAGCTCAGAGTTATGTCTGGTCACATTTATTATCCATCGTCTCTGTCAACTAGCTAACATACTAACTAAATAACTACAGTGCCTTGCGAAAGTATTCGGCCCTCTTGAACCTTTCGCCACATTTCAGGCTTCAAACATAAAGATATAACATTTTAAAGGCGCTATACCCGTTTCTGCAATGTTTGAATGTTTAGCACCGCCCCCCAACTCGCTCAATGGCTTCTCATTTCTCATAACACAGAGCCACCTAGTTTTATTTGCGATCTGATACATATGCTAACATTAGCATTAGCGCAACTTCTTGTAAGCTGTGCAACAATCACTGATGAAATGGCACTAAAGCAACGCACTGCTAACACAATATATAAGTAAAAGAATACCGCTAGTTTCGCGTCCGAATGTATTGATTTAAAACCTTAGAATATATTCTAATATTTAATTATAATTTGTTATAGAGCTACTCAAAGCAGCAGCAGCAATTCTTCCGATCATTTTTCTTGATAACAGAACTCTCAAACCAATAATGACCGAAGCCCCAATGCAACCTGTTTGTAATTCAGGTGTGTAAAATACTGCCATTACTCTGCAAGTACAAAACGCTATCAGCACCTGTCACTATCACTTGTCTGTGTAGAGAAGCTAGCGGAGCTAGCCACGCTCAATAAACAACTACATATCTATAAATCAACACCATTAAACGTCAATCGGACAATACAGTACACATATACATCCTTAACACACATGCACGGATGATTTCAGAATTTGCTGTTAACGTTTTCATGACAAAAATACTGTTTCAATGTGACAAAAAGCGATCGCGAAAAACCCGGAAGTTACCATGAAACAACTAGCTAGCTTAGCTGTTACCTGCCTAGCACGTCCCGGTGAAACCTTTGGGAGCTAACTATTTTATTTGCAGTCATTCAATACATTTCGAATTACAAGGGTTGTCTAATATTTGTTCAAATTTTTTTATTCAATAATTTTTTTCATCATTTTTTATTTTAGAATTATATTCGAATTTTGAAGTCCAGCGCTGTAGGGGCTAGAGGACGCAGGCTGTTCGCTGCTCGTTCTGTGAGCGGAGGAGAAAGAGCGGCCCGCTCAGACTCTACTCAGCACTTTTCACTGCTTGTAATTCTTACACAGCTGAATCAATTACCTCAAGTTTTCAATTAAATGATGTATTATGATACAACTTGTATGTAGTAAAAAGCATTTTTATGAACTACTTAGAAAAAAAATCGGGTATAGCTTCTTTAATTTTTTGTCATGAATCAACAGCAAGTGGGACACAATCGTGAAGTGGAATGAAATTTATTGGATAATTTAAACTTTTTTAACAAATAAAAAACTGAAAAGTGGGGCGTGCAATATTATTCGGCCCCTTTACTTTGAGTGCAGCAAACTCACTCCAGAAGTTCAGTGAGGATCTTTGAATGATCCAATGTTGTCCTAAATGACTGATGATGATAAATAGAATGCACCTGTGTGTAATCAAGTCTCCGTATAAATGCACCTGCTCTTTGATAGTCTCAGGGTTCTGTTTAAAGCGCAGAGAGAACCATGAAGACAAAGGAACACACCAGGCAGGTCCGAGATACTGTTGTGGAGAAGTTTAAAGCCGGATTTGGATACAAAAAGATTTCCCAAGCTTTAAAAATCTCAAGGAGCACTGTGCAAGCAATTATTTTGAAATGGAAGGAGTATCAGACCACTGCAAATCTACCAAGACCCGGCCGTCCCTCCAAACTTTCATCTCAAACAAGGAGAAGACTGATCAGAGATGCAGCCAAGAGGCCCATGATCACTCTGGATGAACTGCAGATAACTACAGCTGAGGTGGGAGAGTCTGTCCATAGGACAACAATCAGTCGTGCACTGCACAAATCTGGCCTTTATGGAAAAGTGGCAAGAAGAAAGCCATTTCTCAAAGATATCCATAAAAAGTCTCGTTTAAAGTTTGCCACAAGCCACCTGGGAGACACACCAAACATGTGGAAGAAGGTGCTCTGGTCAGATGAAGCCAAAATCGAACTTTTTGGCCACAAT